CTCAAAAGGTACAAATAAAAATCGAGATAGTATAATAAACTTATAACATGATGAATCTACCCCAAGAACCATCATTTATTATAACAAATTAATTTGTGATACCTATAATTCGAACACGTCTTCCCCCTAGCATAATTTTATCAAAACTTTACTATCCGTGCCAAAACCCCTTACTTTAGAGATCGATATTTTCGAAATCGCTAACAAATTAAATTGTAATACGCCATGCCGTTCAATCGGAAAAGATGGTGCGTTCCAGACTGGACGTCGCGCCTTTATTTTACGTACATCAAAAATAAAGGCGCGACGTCCTGTTTGGAACACACAAAAGCACCATCTTTACCGATTGGATAGAAATCGCGTAAATCGCTCTAAAAAAATTGGAGAGACAAAACTTTGAAAAACTGATAACGGAATTTGATAAACGCAATTATTTGACATATTTTGGTTAAAACCGCGTTAAAATCCACCCGGTTGTTTTCGACATAACCGCGTCCTACCACACCGTCATTTTTCGCCTCATTCTACCACCTGTTGAAACTTGAAATTTTTTCGTTCGATAGTTTTTGAGAAAAACAATCGTGGATAAAGTTGCCGGCACCCTCAAAACTCTTATACTTTTTTACTAGTAGAATCACTGATTATTAATCAAGTCATGGTTCTCCTGATAAAAAAAAAATACACGGTATTAGCCAAGAAATTACAATTTCGCAATTGCTCCAAGACGAGTGTCAAAAGAAGAAATTATGTGTCAAGTAGGAACAGCTATTCGGAAGATGACGCCACAAAACCTGAAGACATCCGTTAAGACTGTTTTCAACATCCAAGTCCAACATGACTGTTGGTAATAATAATATAACTTTCATAAGCATAAAAGTTAAAAGTCGCCATTTTGAAATAATTCGTCCAATTGAAAATGTGGTATTACCATCGTATAGAGAATGTCCTAAAACATATTACTGCCAAATATGTATTTTGAAAGTGGTAGCCATAGTGTGGCTAAAAAAAATAAGGCGCTTACTTTGAAACTGTATATTGTACTGTACTTTGAGGCTGTATATTGGAAGAAAACGCACAGCAACAGGTATCTACAAGCTTCATCACCCACAATAGAAGATGTCCGTAATTCACAACCTTTTCCATAGAGATTATGTGACGGATTCTGATTCATCAGATTCCGATTTGATTCTGGAGAAGGTTACAACCAAGCAATCGAAAGGTCAAGCAAAGTTTTAATAGACGTACGGCATAAATCAAAAGTTTCTAGTTTTAGTTTTATTTCTAACATCAGTACTACATTTTACATTATTGATTTTCCTTCATTGAAGTTTTGAATTACTAGACGTTATAGGGTGATAATTCCAATAAACGTAATTATATAGGATTCGTAGACGTAAACTCAAGTTTTTTTACATATTTGAGAATTAGTACCAGTAATTCATAAAGTATTTTTTCTGCCAGGGGCAACAGTTGATCAATAGTTGTTGTTCCGTAATTATTAAATGAATTTAACATCGTTTAAAAATTTTAGTTTAAGCAAGAGCAAAAAACTCAAATTTTTCATCCAGAGATTGGAGCAACTCCTATTCAATATCTTGCATATCTTCTATCATGGGTGCATTTGTTATCAGAACTGTGCCTAATTGATCAAGAGTTGCTGTTACGAGTTATGAATTTATTCAATCATAGACTTAAGTGCACTCATTAAGCTGATTTCAATGTATACTGAATACTGGAATCTTTTAATTAGAAGTTTGCTTAAAACCTGACATTTTTAACTGTATCTGATATCTGACTGTAACTGCAACTGATGAAAACAGTTGGTTTTAGGAGTTATGGAATCATTCAATATCATAGACTTGGATTTTTAAATGATCTTGAATTGTTCATTAAGTTTATTTCATGCCGAATCTCTCTTCTTGTACAAACTTGAATTAGCAAAATACTCAAATTTTTCATCCAGAGATTGGAAAAAATCCTATTCAATATCTTGCATATCTTCTGTAATGGATGCATTTGTTATCAGTTTATCAGCAACGTTCGCTTTTTCTAGAATGCAATCATCATTCCTTAATGTTGAAACATTATCAGTCCATTACTGCCGAATAAAAATGTCAAAAACTTGCACATAACACTTCAGATAATATTAAGAGTAGAGCTTTTATAAAGCTGTTTATACTGCACACAAAGCAACCCTAACTTCCAAATGTTTCTTACTAAAACTGACTCATTAAGCTGATTTCAATGTATGCTGAGTATTGGCATCTGAAGTCATTTTTAATCCAGACTTTGAAATACCTAATGATTAATGTAGGTCAGATGAGTACATTGTTTAAAACTGTATCTGATTTTAAATGAACCTAAGTTTGCTCAAAAAATTGATCAGAATATTGAATTAGTTCCAGTACTCAAATTTTTCACACATAGTTTGTAGCAACTTATGTGTATCTTTTGTTTGAATTTCCATGATTGATGAATAGTTCTTGTTAGGAGTTGTTGATAAGCTCATTTCAGTTTATACTCAGTACTGGAAGCTTTCAATTAGAAGTTTGAAATCCATTCAAGTGATTGGAAGTTAATGTATCATATTATTTATTTTTCATTTTATGTAAACTTTGCGATATTAAATCAGTTTTTTATAAATTTTGAACGTTTCGCAAACTTTATCAGTCCATTACTGTCGTAAAGTAATGCCAGAAACTTGCATGTAACACTTCAGATAGTATTAAGAGTAGTTACAGCTTTCTCTTAGTTATATAAACAGCCATTTGCACACGTTTGATTTAAATGCGCATTTTTAAACGATATCAGTAAGAAGTCAAATATTTTTTAAAACTGTACTAACAACTTTAGTTATCTTAATCATGACAGTCTAAAGATATCTTATTAAATCATTACTTTTATTTTGCTCAATTACTTCAAAAAGTTATATCTTTATTTAACAGAATATAGAGTTTAATATCATCTTTTTAAAATTTATTAAGTTTATAGTAACTGTAGAACAAAGATGAGCGTAGGTTGTGTGTAGTCGAAGAGAAAAGACTTAGTGAGGAGAAGATACAATCGCTATGGAGACCTCCTCTTTCCTCTTTTTGTGTCTCTTCCGCGGTCGATGCGTATCGTGTATCGGGCGAATCGTGTCAACACGAATTATCGGTGCGGGCCCGATTAAAAATTATGAAACACTAAAGCCACTTAACGACTTAATTCAACGTGAGCGGTACACGATCGCGATCCCATCTGCTTATATGGTCAAGAGCCGATCGGTTTTACGAGGCCTACACACAAACTCCTACAATATAGCATTCACGAATCGACTCATGAACGGAACTTAATAATTATCCAAATACAACGAAAAAAAAAGCGATTTAGCTTCAACTATATTTTCAGAAAGTCGCAATTATATTTTAATTTGTTTTTAATTTCCGAACCAATTAAAAACGGCACATTTAAATAAATAATTTACCCTGATGGCTACGTGAATAATTGCGTAAGTTGTTGGGTTAATAACGGAAAATATTATAGATCACAATTAAGGTCTATCTTGTCACTTTACGTTAGCCAGAGTGGGAAATGACGGGCTATTAACGTAGTTGCCATCGCTACTGGGCATTTACAGTTATTACCACTATAAGAACTGTATATACGCGGTTTATCATGTTGTTCAGTGCTGGAATTTAGTTATTCAGTTATTTTCTGTTAGTGACATTAACAAAAAAATAAGACAACTGAAAAAATAAATAAAATTCACCTACCTATTTCGGGCGCATTTTCCTTGTACCAATACTTTTTTTTTATTTATGGCCAATTGGTTCAAAAGAAACAAATAAAAAATTAAATAAACACGCAAAAATTCTTTTAATTTCGTTTATTTCTCAATTTTGAATAACATTTACATCACACATATGTCGTAAACCTAATTCTAAACAACGAATAGTAATAATAATAATAATTGTAATTCATTTCTCTCACGTCTTACAGTTCTTTTATTCACTTGATTATCAAATATGATCTTTTTTTTGGTGCAAGGAAAATTTTGGTATATTCAATAATTTTGTTTTTTTAAATAAAAGGCATCAAAGTGAGTGAATATAACAAAATTTTCGCCGAGATAAATAGGCTACTCATGCGCAAGTCTCGTTATGTTTTCTTTTTAAATTATTAACTTAAAAATAAAAATTCCTACTGCTAAATAACACTTTGTGTGCGATGGCACGAGAAGTACAATGAATAGTGATCGTCACCATAACAGGGACAGAATTACTAGATTCCATCACTGAGAACATTCATAATTTCGCAGTTCTTCAACACGTTTTGTGCGCGAAAACTTTTATTTAAAAAAAATCACTGCACACCATGTTTTAGCTTCATTTTACTATGTGAGTAATATTAAAAACTACTCCTCAACTTATTCTTTCTTTTATATAAATTATTTACAATTACAGAAAAAAGAACTATGATATTCATTTCATTTCTGTTAATTTAATCTTTTTCTAAAAACTTTTTTCCTCTCTAATTAAGTAGATTTATATTATACAAAAATTTTTCATCCATTATTTTGCTTAATAGCATTCGACAAAGACAAAAATTATTTTATAAATTAGTAAAATACAAAAGAAGAATAAAACATAACATAGCTTTAAGAGCGAAAATAGGACACGATCGTTTCTAAAGCACGATTAGCAATAAATAAAACGAACCCCTCTTAGAGTATGTCCATTAAACTTTCAAACAAAAAAAGGGATCGAAAACACAAGAAGCTACCTATCAACGTTACCTATTTAATCCATTCATCTAAAAACCGATATAAGTATGTATATTTTTTTATATTTACAATTTTACCATTTCTATCTAAATCCGATTCGATTATTTTAATTCTTTTGTGTGTTTAAATCGATTTAATTTTTAATGTTAATTTCGCGTTTAGCATTTTTGTGTTGCCGCCAAATACATGTAGTATTGGGCAAGCGAAAGCAAGTACACCATGTTGCTGTTTGTACCTTTTTCGTAGTTTATCTGCCTCTCCTGTTGGCGCGCATTGTCCGCTGCCACTTTCAGCAAACCTTGAATATTTCTTAAAAGCGTCTCTGTCGATGAAATACTCGGATCTTGATGATGATTTTGCCCATTTGCCGACGCCACTGCAGATGCTAACGTTGAATAGTTGATGGCTGCTTGTTGAGAATCATTTCCGGGGACTACTGGAAGTGGTAAATCACCTTCATCCATATCTACAAAAAAAAAATTCGTATAAAATAAAGTTGTGCGTAAAAGATATCATTGAGGTGGGATTATGAGAATACGGTTTTTTTTTCCTTTTTTTTTGGGGGATAAAGGTAATTATAATTCTTGAGATTCCGATCCCGATATCGAGGCGCCCCACAATGGATTCCCACAAACATAATTAGTGGTTGAAATTAGCGGCTTACAAAGGCATCGGTCATTAGTGACCTACGTGCTGTATCTTCTTTCGCCGCAACCGCCCCTTTCTCCGTTGCCCCCCTAGCGGGACTACTTTAGCATATTAATGATCTTGCGGAACCATAGCTGACCCCACAGTTATTACTCTCTCATTTTTACCCCGGAAATCACCTTTTAGTTTATTATTGTATATAATACTATTTTGTTTTTTTCAATTAAAATATCAATAAATATAATAGATGTTGTTAAAATTCCTAAGAAAGTGAGGGTTGAATAGGTTTCTTCAGCAATAAGATTGCGGAGAAGTGAGAAAGTTTTGGATTTTGCTGGTGTCTTGGAAAATGATATTTTGCAAATATATCATGGTAGTTCCATTCATACCTGAGTTATTTGTAGCCTGAGCTTATGGCATTAGATAAATGTTACGAAATTATTGAGATAATTGTTGAAGAAAGCAGTTTATACTGTACACAGAACAACCCTAACTTCCAAATATTTCTTACCAAAATTGATATAAGGAAATATGTAGGAATACTAGAAATTTGGTATTGACCTCAATACATGGTCTTAAATTCATGGTTACTATATGAGCGTGTTCTCATTGTTTGAGAACAGCAAAAAGAAATAAGGCAGTTGGCAAAACTTAAAACTTAGACATTTATCCATCTACTTGTGTAACTTTTTTAGTCTGGTGTCAGAAAAAGCAGACCAAGCTGAGTAGGGCAGAATATCCAGTATAAGGTGCGCAACGATAAATCCCAGTGTAACAACATTGAAAACTTTTTCTTGTTCTAACGTGTAGTGTTACAAATTTGTAACAACCAAATTTTCCTTAAAAAGCGTTTGTTTTATTGGAATATCTCTTACCCAACCCAATATCAACTTCTGTTATCCATCCCTTTTGTTAAGCTTTCTTCTCAAAGCAGTTTATAGTAAGAGAACTTATAAAACTTGCTTACTCTTTCGAAGATTATTCCTAACAAGAATATGGTGAAACTAAACTACACAAAAACGTGATCTTGGAACATCAACAAACATTGAAGCATAGCAACGCTCCTACGATGCCAAATTGTACAATCTACTGTAAAAAAGAAGGATATATTCTTTTAGCATTCTACGTCTTAACAGAATCCTGAAATGAACACTGTCAGTAGATAGACCTAAAAGGAATCCCAACTTGAATAAGTGGATTTGTATGAATCGTAAATTCATGGTACTATATGAGTGTGTTCTGACTGTTCGAGAATTTGAAAAACAGATACGGCTGTTTTCAAAACTTAAACGTGAGACATTTTTCCATCTGCTTATGCAACTTTCAAGTCTGGTGTCAGAAAAGGCATACCAAGCATATGGTTGAGTCAAAATATCTAATACAAGGTTAATCCCAGTATGACAAAATTGAAAAACTTTTTCTTATTCTAATGCGTAGTGTTACAAATTTGCAACAACTTGTTGCATGTTGTTGGAATGTTTCTTACCCAACCCAACATCAACTTATGTTAATCAACAAACATTGTAGTATAACAACGTTCTGACAATGCAAAATTATACAATCTACTGCAAAAAGAAAGATATATTCACTTGGTATTCCAAAGCTTTGCAGAATTCTGAATTGAAAACTGTTACTAGATAGACCTAAAAAGATTCCCACCTCGAATAAGTCCAAGAACTGCAAAAACAAATAAGACAGTTGTCAAAACATAAAAGTTAGAGATTTATCCATCCGAAGAAACCAAACCAAGCACTTGGTTGGGGCAAAATATCTAATACAAGGTAAATCCCAGGGTGACAAAATACAAAAACTTTTTCTTATTCTAAAGTGTAGAGTTACAAATTTGCAACAACTAAATTTTCCTTAAAGAGTTGCCTATTTTGTTGAATTGTTCCTTATCCAACCCAACATCAACTTCTACTATCCATCTTTTTTGTTAAGCTTTCTTCTACTACATCCTGTGAACTAATCTGATCTGGATGTACTTTTTTTTGTATATTAGTAGAAGACGTAAACTTCCACCTCATGTAATATGAAGATATATTCAGATAAATACAGCAGTTTCGCCGCCATTACCAATTTGCTTCAAAGTTCTCTTCCTCAATGGGTATGATTAATATAATGACTATAATTATAATTTATGTATTACTAATAATTTGTCATATTTGGACATGGAGTCTTTTTATGAAGTTTTTGGATTCAAGTATCTACAAGAAAAATTCTAGTTCCGTTGAATCAAACCACTCAATACATATTATCGTTTATGTATACACATTTTAAGAGCAGCCTGGTGGGAATAATGTTTCTAAAAAGTGAACACATGTAGTACCATCCTTCTAAAGCCAGAAAATTTATTAATTTTTCAAACTGTACTTGCTCGATTTCATGTATTGCTCAGTATGGTTATTATTAATATCTACGTCCTTGGCATCTTTAGAAAAGAATGGACCAATGGTTCCTTCGGCGCATATTGTACCCAAACGACTTTTTTACTTTGTTCTCTTGAATAAGAGGAGGGTTTCTTTTTTGTTCTCCAAAATGAACCGTTTAGATTATTAACAAAATTGATTGATAACTTAGTCAAACTCTACTATCTGTGCCAAAAGTAGAGATCGATATCTTTGCAACCGCTCAATGAAAAAAATTGCGGTAAAGTTTGTTGTAATCACTGAACATTTCTACGTAACATATGTGAATTTGACAATTGTTGGCTCCGCAGTTTTCTTTTTAACGCGAATTAAATGAAAAAAGTAACTTGGACACCTTCTGTAAAATCTGGCTGATGTGTGTTCCAGACTACGTCGCGCCTTTATTTTACCTATATCAAAAATAAAGGCGCGACGTGCTGTCTAGAATACACACCAGCCAGATTGGACAGAAGTTGCCGGTACCCTCATAAATTAGGGAAGTATTAGAATAGTAGGGAGTTACATTTTAAGGCAAGTTTAAGGGATAGGAGTAGCAAAATCGATCATTTCATTTGTTGTTTTGTTCTTTTATGGGCCCTTATCTTGCCTTTATTGCACATTCTTATAGATTTCCAACTTAATTTTCCATTTTTGACTTTTAACGATTGTAATAATTGCCACATTTATTTCAATACCATAGATATTAAGATAAATGTCTATGATTCTTTTCTGGGTAATCATTAGGATGACTGATTAAGATAAGTATAGTCTTTAATCTTATTCTGGTGAAACATTAATTTTTGTTCCAATCATTCCATAAATCATAAATCAACCTTGCGATTATGCCTAGATGTTATGTTATGTAATTTTGATATGATTCTCTCTGACATTGCAGTAATATGTGTTCTTCCAATTTCTTTCAAATATCATATCGTGTTTTCAAATTGTTATGGACCTCTTCCACTGATGTTGTTCATGTTGGGTTATTTTTTATTCTTAGGCACGATTCTACTTTACTCAATTTTCATAAAACCACAGTTTTTTAATGTCAAATTTAATTACTTTTTATCATTTTCTTTCCAAAATAATGAAATCAATTCCAAAGTTGTCAGAAACTAATTATAGTAATTACCTTCATAAAATATCTCAATAAATATCATACGAAGCAAATCAAAATATGAGAGTGTAAGAGAACTTAGGTTGCACATCATTTCCTAGGAGAAGCATTTAAGCATAACGCAGACCAAAGAAGCACCTCTAAGAGTGGTCGCCAATGTACGGAGATGCCATAACACCAATATTCTTAAAATGGTGTATTAATAGATAGTGTACTAATGTATACATAGAAAAGATTTTTAATGATGATTATGTAATCGTAATTGAAATTATAGTACGTGTTCATAATAATAGATGGCAGCAAGTAACTTGCAAGCAACGATCAACTTTCTAATTAAAAATAACTCTGAATGCATCGGCTGTATTTTTAATTATTTTATATTCTGTGATTTCCAATACAGAGTGTTTCTTTGCTTGTAGTTCAAAACTTTCGGTGTGCTTTAATTAACATCGAGTGCACGAACGTGAACAAATTCATTATTCTTCAAGATTTAATTAAATTGATACATAAAATAAGTTCTATTTTCCATAAATTATCAAAATAAATCATGAAAAAAATTAATGTTTACAAAACAACTTTAAAAAATGTGATCGTACTTGAAGAGCTCATAATTTCTCCAGACAATATTAATTAGCATGAAGAGAACGTTCGATAATACCGTGGTACCTAATAAGATGTCAAAACCGGGCATGCGTAGACCCCATCCATCTTCCATCACATTTTTTTAGTCTTTCTCGTTCCCTGTCGCTCGTGCTATAGAAAATTCGATCCTTGTCGCTTATTTTAAAACAAACAAATTAGGCGGTTAACCGGGCACGCAAACGCTCGCCCCAAATCGCGACCGTAATTTATTTTCCGTTATTGAAAACTTATATCATTCGCTCACGAAGGATGCCGGATCACGTTCCGGTCCGTTTCGGATGGATCTCAAAGGAATCTCTTGAGGCCCTAAATGCTTATTTTTAAACCTGTTGACGGCGGTATTTCATCCCGAGGGGCAGCACTTAGCGCGTCCGACCAATTTCTTAATCGATGACAAACGATTTCGTGGAATTAAAACAGAAAATTTGTTTTTTTTTTCACCTTGATCTTTCTCGTCATCATCTTCTGGTTCTGAAATATTATCGTCCTCATCGTCGTCTGCTGCGGATCTAGGCGATCGAGGCGTCGGTGGTGCATCTGGACCATCAGCTTCACTTCCAGAATGGTCAGCATCACCCATAGAACCGGCGCTGCCACCACCGCTTTTCGATAAGTTTAAAACAGGGCTGTGATCTTCCGTTGGGGATCCTACAAAGTCGGAAAAAAGAAAAAAATTAATAAAAATAAATCCTCTTGGCGCTTTTTTCTACCGTTTAAGCCGTACAAGGGACTTTATCTCTCAATAACACCGCTTCGACGGACAATAAAAAAGAGCTTAACAATAAAACCGACTATAAAACTGGGCGCAATTACAACGGTTTATTGTGCAATTCGTGCAGGGGGTGTGGTATAGATTCACCTGGACTCAACGTCGACGCAAATTTAGGGGTGGTAATAAACAATAATCCAATAAAGGGTCTCCCGGAAAAATTAAACACGAGCAAATTAAAATTAAACGCGAGCGGCGCGCGTCCAGCAACGCGAATAAAAACTTAACTATCCAGTTGGTTTTAATTAATGGCCGTAAAAAACTGCTCTCCGAGGTCCCCACTTGGCTCTGTATGCTGTTACTACCACCGGAATAAGTCGGAAAGAATAAACGGGTCTCGGGAAGCGAGATGGAACGTTGGGCAATAAATCGCCCTTTAAAAGGGAACGGATAGCCGGAAAGGATTCACAATTAAACCGGGAGCCAGAGATATTTAAACGGACGTCACGGATTTTCGATGGACACAACCTGGACCTGTCCAGATTCAAAAGGGGTCGAATATAAATTGTACCCGATTCTCTATACTCAATTTTAAATTGGGGGCGAGAATCTAAATTCATCAAACCCGACAGTTTTATAACCAAACTAATTTGTCAATATCTTATTTCAATTAAAACGAAAAATATTTCAAGTAAACAATTTTACTAGAAAAGTTTTCTAATCATGCTGATTACGAATTTATAGAACTCAAATGTTAAATAGAAACATTTTAATTGTTTTTAGCAATTTAATAGCAAAAACTAAAAGTTATAAACGTCGTCATTGCATTGAGGCACGAATGCGGTAAGTCTTGCATATTAGAATGCAAATGTTCTGTGTTTTAATGCATTTCAATAAAAACTTAACGACCAAATAATAGCAACGAAACGCCATAAGAAGTTCTTAAACCTTAACTATTCTCGGCCGAGGTCAACATCGATTGGAGATTCGTGCGAAATTTGTTGTACAATACTGACGAATTTTAATTTAATACAGTATTATAGATAATTTGGACCTACTTATAACCTGGTGTTGATCATTTGGTCTTAGACTGAGGAAGATGCATGGGTAGATACAGGATTTATTGATTTGTGTTCAGCCTTGGCAATAATTTTAATAATATTTATACAATAGGCTTGAAATATTTAAGATTACTAAATGCTTGCCTAATTTTGAAATTGGAATTAATGTAGAAGCAAGTTTATTTGCAAAATCTGGCTGAGTGAGCCAGCTATAAGCAGACATTTACTACCTATACATTAGGCTAAATATAGAAAAGTTAGAGTAAACCTAGAGATGAATATGGACACGATCTTTTTTCCTAACCAGTTCGATGATCAAGACATGTTTTTGGACGCTGTAAATAAAAAGCATCGGAACCGACTGGACCCAGGTTAAAAAAGGCATCGTCAAAATATCGGAACATTTCATGATCCCTGAAATGTTTCTCACTAAGTTTTAGTTTCTCATTTACACCATAATGTCCCTTGTTGAACTACTTGCACAGTAGAGTGTATTGTGAGCAAAATGGGCACTCTAGGCCATTTTTCTAAGTGATTTAGACATTCCAGCAATCTTTTAGAATAGGGACTTCAAACTACCCGTATACAGTATGCAGATAGCAAACAGTATTTAGTTATTATAATTAGAATAACGTTCCAAACTTTCTGAAATAGGTGCTTATTATTCTATAAGCTTAGCTTCACAATCTCTGAAACATTACAACCTTGAGCTTCGGACATATTGTTGGTACCCTTCATAAATAAACCATATTTTATATATAGTACAAAACATTTTTGTAAATCGTTACCTGCTGCAGTGATTTGACACGAAATCCATAAACTTGTAAACCTAAAATCAATGCAATAGAAGCTTGAACAATTACAATCAGAATCACATTAAGATCATGATTAAGGTCATGATGCATCTATTCTCACTTTTGATGATCTGCGATGTTGGTGTATACTCAATTCGACAATCTATATGACTTACATTATCTTGAAGGTGTAACCATTCAAGACTTCCTTGCCAATTGTGCAGTTAATTTGAAGTTATACAACTATAATTTAGCTAGCAACGATTGTAAGTAGTAAATTGTTTACATTAACTCGTGATTTAGTCGAAATTCTAAGTGACACTGTACGTGATTCTTAAGTACAGGAAAATTTTGAAAAAATGTTGGAGCTGCCAATGACAATAAATCGTCTGAAAAAATAGAGAAACGATATGAAAAGTTCGAAAGGATTTATTGATACGAGAAGATACGAAAGATTGATACTAGTTATTAGAAGAAACATAAACAAACCAGCTGAAGTCATTCCAGAAGCCATTAAATAAGTGTACGCAAAATTATGGATTGCCGAGTTGTTTAGCAAGATAATCTTAGAATAATAATGATAGTTTTAACCCTGACATTTGATCTGGGCTCCAAACATACGTTTTAGTGGTGAAAAAATTGTTGAAATTACAAATCATATTGCAGCAAATGTCTTTAATTATGGATATTCTGGACAATTCCTCTATTATGGACAATTCGTCCAATTGAGAGTGTGAAGACATCGTCACATTAATGGAAGACTATAAATCTAAGATCCCAAAAAGTCTAAGCCTTAAACGATGCCAGTCTAATTTGATAAAACAAGACGTTCTGAACATTCGTAATCAGCACAAAGAAATCCTAAATCAACTCTTCCTTTCTGATGTTCTTAAATAGTAAATAATCGTCTTGGTTTTCTCGGCACATAACAAAAATGATTCTTAAGTACAGACAAATTTAAAGCTAACTGAGGTTGGGATGACTTAGGAGGAGTACAGATGAAGAATTAAAGGAAGTGGTTACCAATGAAGAAGAATCCACATGATTAGGACGAAACGTGCTTCTTCCTCTCTGCTCTTATGATGAAATATTCATACTACAAGGTTTGCAAGTTTTGAAAAAATGTTGAAGCTGCCAATGACAACAAAACGTCTGAAAAAATAGAGGAACGATATGAAAAGTTAGAAAGGATTCATTGACACGGAGCTATATTAAGTTTTTTGTGATTTTGGTTGTGGTGGTACGTTGACAGACAAGCTTATTGACGTGTTAACTGGTCACTGTGGTCTAGTTATTAGAAGAAACATAAACAAATCAGCTGAAGTCATTCCAGAAGCAATTAAACAAGTGTACGCAAAATTATGGATTGCCGAGTTGAGTAGCGAGATAATCTTAGAATAAATGTAAGTTTTAACGCTGACATTTGATCTGGGCTCCAAACATACGTTTTAGTGGTGAAAAAATTGTTGAAATTACAAATCATATTGCAGCATTCTGGACAATTCTTCTATTATGGACAATTGGTCCAATTAGAAGTTATAACTATAAATCTAGGATCCCAAAAAGTCTAAGCATTAAACTATGCCAGTATAATTTGATAAAACAAGACGTTCTGAATATTCGTAATCAGCATAAAGAAATCCTAAATGAACTCTTCCTTTCTGATGTTCTTAAATAGTAAATAACCGTTTTGGTTTCCTCGGCACATAACAAAAATGATTCTTAAGTACAGAAAAATTTTACGCTAACCGAGGTTGGGATGACTTAGGAGGAGTACAGATGAAGAATTAAAGGAAGTTGCCAATGAAGAAGAATCCACATGATTAGGATGAAACGTGCTTCTTCCTCTCTGCTCTTATAATGAAATATTCATACTACAAGGTTTGCAAGTTTTGAAAAAATGTTGAAGCTGCCAATAACAATTAACAATTGTGCAGTTAAGTTAACTTGAAGTTATACAACTATAGTTTGATACGAGAAAATACGAAATATTGATATTAGTTATTAGAAGAAACATAAACAAATCAGCTGAAGTCATTCCATAAGCCATTCAACAAGTGAACGCAAAATTATGGATTGCCGAGTTGAGTAGCGAGATAATCTTAGAGTAATAATGATAGGTTTAACGCTGACATTTGATCTGGTCTCCAAACATACGTTTTAGTGGTGCAAAAATTGTTGAAATTACAAATCATATTGCAGCAAATGTCTTTAATTATGGATATTCTGGACAATTCTTCTATTATGGACAATTGGTCCACTTAGAAGTTATAACTATAAATCTAGGATCCCAAAAAGTCTAAGCATTAAACTATGCCCGTCTAATTTGATAAAACAAGACGTTCTGGATATTCGTAATCAGCACAAAGAAATCTTAAAATCAACTCATCCTTTCTCATGTTTTTAAATAGTAAATAACCGTCTTGGTTTCCTCGGCACATAAAAAAATGCGTATACAGACCGTGTTATTTCAGTTTACATCGTTAGGCTCTTGATAAATGCACAAACATTAACGAAAACTACTCACCGTTTCTCGGGCTGAGGTCACGAACCTTTTGGTCGAGCGGCAAGGGTCTATCTGGATCGCCCCTTTCTTCCCTTAGCCTGCAATAAGAAAACACAAAAAAAACATGAATTGAGTCGAATAAAAATGCAAATAAGATCAAATTCGAAAAGGACACGAAAACAAATTATTACTATCTCTAAATCTCTAACAAAAAAAACTAAGAAAAGAAAGAAAGAAAAGAAAAAGGAATGGGGTTTTAATTCAAATGTATAAGAAAGACGAAGAGGGATGGTGAGTTAAAAATGTTACGGTCAGAGTAGGATGGTCGGTTGTTGCGATTTAGTCGTTCATTATAAATGCATTACATTCGGTTTGCGCCGGACATGCAACTCGGCGATTTGATCTTCGATATTGCGATACCATCTTCGTTTTCAAAAGTTGAAAATTCGACAGCTGTGAATTTTTTCGTGTTTAATTAACACAAAAAGATAACTAAGTTTTGACTAATGATCTTCTAAAAACTGTAAACCCCCCGCTGTTTGAGTTAAAAATCATTATATTTTTTTAAAATAATTATTTTGTATATATTTTTTTATAAAGTTACTATTTCTTGCAAATCATTAACCCCTTTTACCTGAAAATAAAAGGGGCGGTAACATGGTCCGTGATTAAAGAAAAAGGGGAAGACGAAGAAGGGAGGGAGAAAGCCCGCTCCCTAATATAACATGTCTACAGCAGAAATGAAAATAATTAAATAATAACGAAGCAAGAATAAGAGGCCGCGTAATGATTATATCAAAGAAGGGTTAAGTCGGGAGGAGCGCCTCGAAGCGGGGACAGAAACCCACCCTTCACCTCCTCATCCTCATCTTCACCGATTCCATCTGATCTGCACCGGCAAAGCTTTCAGCAAGATTTTGATTAGTCATAGAGACAATTTAACCGGCGTAATAAAGATAGAAATCTAAATGTAAAACAGTAGCCGGGCGCCCGATGCTGTACCCCAGACACGAACCGATTGAATTTTTTGATCGGTATAAATTGATACAAGAACCTTTTGGATTCATTATGACTAGGCGTTAAATTATTGAAATGTTATTTATTATGTCTTAAACAAATATTATCATTTTCTTTTTAAAAAGGTGATAAATGCTCGAGAAAAAATGATAAATGATGTGGGATTTTCTGTCACACCGATCTACACCCTCGCTAATGATTCTCTAATTTCACTTTTCGACTTTCTCCCCTTATCAAAATCATGGTTGGAGATGGACTGCGGAAATTCTACGCGCACCATCCCTGTTAATGATAAAAATACTTAATTCCCGCTGACGTCCGCAGAAACGGCATTATAATTAATGATAAAGGGAGAAACGTAAGATTAGCCGCGTCCGCTCTGCCAGTGGCGTCCTTCCCGTAGAATTTTCGGGAGGGGTTAACGGTTACAAGACGAGAGTCCCGGACTCGCGCCCATGTTTGAATAGGACGGTCTGCGCAGATAACTTTCGCATAATTAATCTTAATATCGTATTCTCGGATTGTTCTCTCGTTTCTCGCCGACCCTTTTCTCATCCCACCCTTCTTCCTTTCTCGCTCACTCTCAAATCTCGCTTCATCGATCCTTTTCACCCTCTCTCCACCTCGTTCTCGCTAAAATACTATCTGCACCGATACATCTGTTAATTAACTGCAACGGAGTCGATGTTGGTGGAGAGAAAAGGATGGCTTTAAAAAAATAGAAAAAGATAAAAACAAGAGACGTGCCAATATTGAATTACAGTCCAATTTGTCAGGGTTTTGTTTCTTCCGCGGCGATGCCTCGATTTGCATCTAACCGTGTCTCGTATTGATTATTTATTAATAAGCGTGAGAATGCTACGGCAACGACGAGATGATAAATGGGACTACGATTTTAAAAAGAATAGAAAAAAGATCACATCTTGTGAATCCACCCTCAAGACTTTTTTTTTGATTATGGGGTGGTTACAAATGAGAGAATTTGGTGTGACGAAACAAAGACAACATGAATCGAGGAAGGTTATAAAATAAATAAGAACAACAAGGATGACAAGAACGAAGTTGCCATCCCCTTTTTCGCCTTTTTTTTTTTCGACGACCTCACAGTTAGAGTTACAGAGGGGATTTCGTCAAAGATGTCACCCGAGTGATTAATGATCTCATTTTAATAATAACTCGTGTACGGAAGCGAGAGGAGTCGACTTGTGTGTCGAGTCCAACGGCGACTCGTTTATTAAAAAGAAACATCGCCGAAAACGCATCCAATAAGAGAGAACGAAAGATGTCTCGAGAGAGAGAGAACTTTTTTTGGAGAGTGATGTAGTAGTGTAGCTTCAGGGCCCTGTACGACAGGAAGGCCAGCTTCCGATTTTATTTTATTAATTACTCCCTTGGATTAATAAGCGATGACAGCGTGTTTTATTAAGCAAAAGGTGCAGCATCCTCGACGACGACGGCAAATCTTCTGATGATGGATCGTTTATGCGAGAATGTTTCGGATTGGTGATTTTCAGAGGATTTATTGTTATCTTGTTATTATTAAGTTAGGGAAAGAAGTAAAATGTTTTTTAGTTAATTATTTTGAGCCCAACCCAAATTCTTATTACACTGATCGACACGGTTTTTTTCCACACGGATTCTTTATGCTAATTGGATCGCGTTAAATATCACTTGATTAAGCGACATTTTATCGTTTTTCGAGATTTTCATACTGTCTGGTAGGTAAAGGTGTAACTTATCTTAGAAAAAATGCAGAATACCGAAATACCTAAAATACTATTTGTTTTAAAGGGTAAAGCTAAGACGATTTCAAGTCCGATTTGCATCATACGTCTACAAGAAATTCTACAATAGAAAAAATAGATGAACCTACAATTTCGGGCTGGTGTCGTTTTCTAGTTCTAGTTTTACACTAACACTATCACTAGAACTAACACAAGACTTAGAATTAGAATCATTCGCGTTTAGCCGTCTTGAGAGACGTGCGGCTAAATCTGAATGTTTCTAGTTCTCGGTCTAGTGTTAGTTCTAATATTGCACTAGCACTGTCACTAGAACTAACACAAGACCTAGAACTAGAATCATTCTGGTTTAGCCGTCTTTAGAGACGTGCAGCTAAACCCGAATGTTTCTAATTCTAGGTCTAATGTTAGTTGTTCTAGTGGCAGTGGTAGGTAGCGATAGTTAGCATAAGATATTACTATGTTGTATATTTTTATTGAATTAAAACTAGAATGAGAAATAGAAACATTCGGGTTTAGTCGTAAAAAAAACTTTCAGTTGTCAATGTTAACTTTAATTTTATTATTATATTCGTTATCTTCATAAAATAACCTTTAAAGTGAGTCCAAACATGACGCGTTTATCGCAAAAAACCAAAAAGTTCGAACTTTCAACTTTTAATTTTGACATATTTGTCAACTTCATAAAAAATCCTTTAAAATAAGTCCAAACTCGACATATTTAACTTTAATATTAACGGAAATACAATCACTTCCGGTTTGAAACGTCAACGTCAATTTTGACATATTTGTCATCTTCATTAAAAAACCTTTAAAATGAGTCCAAATGACGATGACGCACTTATCTCAAAAACCAAAAAAGTTTGAATAAAAAACATTAAATACGAAATTAGCAACAATGAAGATAGCAATTTAATTTTTAAATATTAATACCAACCTTAATTTTTATTTGTTTTTATTATATTTTTGTTTTTGTGACAAATATTAAGACATTTTATAAAAATTAAGAATATCTCTTGCTTATATCTCGAGTAATATTGGAATTAAACGTATTATGTTTGGACTCATTTTAAAGGCATTTCACGACGATTACAAATATGTCAAAATTGACGTTGACATTCTTAACCGGAAGTTAACCATAACTTCATTAATATTGAATATAAATATGTCGTGTTTGTACTCATTTTAAAGGATTTTTAATGAAGATTACAAATATGTCAAAATTGAGGTTGACATTTTAAACCTGAAGTTAGTTATCAGATAATAGAAGTTTTATAACTGAACTTAATCTAGTGTTAATCACTTTTCCGCACTTTCTTTTTATTTTTAACGTGTTTTTTGGATCATTTCACATGATTCTTGAATTTTTCCAAGTTTCTTAATATTTCTTTTGTTAAAAAAGAACGTTCTTCAATTTTAACCTGTAAACTTGTAATACTTCGTCCTTAATTTCATTTTACAACATTTTAAACTTTAATTTTGTAAATTAGTAACTAATAATCTGATTTCAACTTTGATACGTGATCTTTTTCAACAAAATAAAAAGAAATATTAAAAAACTTATTTGTAAAATGGATCAGATGAGAGATATTAATCTATTTGTAGAGTCTCTGAAGATGGCCAAGGGCCGAAACTGGTTAGACTTAAATTCTAATTCCAAACAATTTTTAATAGTTTGAGCCTATCTATTCTGAGAAGTCTTATATTTTTAGAGAGATGAAAACGAAAATCCCATTTTTCTCAACATTATTCATTTGTCACTTAGTCAAGTGATGCATAACGTGGTCCAATTATTACCCTCATTATAAAACAGCAATTATTCTTTTTTCTGTCAGCCACAAATTTGATGTTTTGATGACTTTACTGTATTTTCCGCTAATATTACTGTACGTAGTGTCGAATTGCATCAAGTTATCCTTTAAAACAGTGTCAAATTGTAAATTTAGCATACATAACATAATCGTTGTTAGTTTCCCAACATGCAAAGGAAGTGTATTAATCAATTTTTGCTAAGTATGTGGTGAACTGACTTTCAAAAGCCAGCGACGAAATTTCACTAAACTCTTGAAGCAGTGTTATCGTGTATATTTTGGTTTCTCTGTGGGTGATCAAGAATCTTACAGGTTGAGCAAAAGGAACGCGATATATGTCTTTCGGAAAACCCATGATTTGGACAGAACCTGTAAATCACGTATCTGATCGCTACTTTTGCTTGACTAATATAAATGGAATGAGTAGGCCATCAAAACGTACTGTGAAATATGCAAGTGTACATTCTGCATCACAACCACTTCGTCATAGCCGTCTGATTTGGCTATGTAAAAAATAAAATGACGCAG